AGAAAAATCAAAACCAAAACCCATCGCCTGTATATATAATTCTTTCATTATGTGGCTTCTACCGATGGAAACTCTATATGCTGCAAATTGGCTAATATGATTTCTTTTCTATTTTACCTCTTGTGTGTATTTTTCTTCTTTTTTTAAATCGTTACATTGGTAAATCGTCTACTGTTGTATTCTGTTTGTTGATTCGCTTTATTTGCTTGCAATTGTTGTTTGCTCGAAACATAACGTCACTGCATTTTCAACAACATCTAAAATAGGAATTAAGTTGAGAAACTTGCTTACCAAACCTTAACATTATTATTATTATTTTTTTTTTTTTTTTTGGGTAAAGCAAGTTAGAATTTTTTTCACCTCTTTTTGTATTTCTTGTATTATCAATGGAGTTTTAATTTTTCTTAATTTTTTCATTTTAAATAGAATTACTCCACTGTACGACGGCGAACAACCCGACATGATCATGATTGATTGGATTTGAGTTGGTCGGAGCTAATTTCAGTTGGAGAGCGTGACTTTCTCAATGAGGTTTCCCAATAGCTGCTCAATAAACGTTAATTGAACTGCGAAGGTGGCACTTGACTATTGCTTTACTCTTTCAAAGGTTATTATGAATTTAGTCTGTTGTATGTAACGCACAGAAAGAAGTAGGCACAACTTTTACTTCATAAGTTGACGCATTCATCAATTCTTTTATCTACTAATATCCCAAAGGTTCTGATCGAAAGGAAACTTTTTTGGGCACTTTATTGCGAGTAAATAATATGTTTGAACATTCATATTTTGATGATCTTCTTTGGTTAAAGTGAACTCACATACATATTTGAATGTTTGCTTCAGGAATTTTTGTTTTTGAGGTTGCGTTGCTGTCATTTTACTTTTATCATTATTGCTTCATTAAAAATAAAATAAACAAATCATAAATACGGTTAAAATAATTACATAACTCTATGCATACGAGCGACCGATCGATGACCGCAGATTAAGTATATTATATCACCAGCCTAAACAGAAAAGACAAATGGAAAGCATATATAATCTTCGTTGCGTGAAAGCTGGAACTTCTTTGATATTTGTTTTTGATATATCTGTGTGTATATGTCATTGTTGCATATAGAATTTTTATTTTTGATTATATGTATGATTTGCATATGAAATTACTTTAAGTTTTGACTGGTGCGCGCACAGAATTTCTAATGAGACCAAGAGGCCATTAAGCATTTTTAAAACTTTATTTAAAAAAGTGAAAAGCCTCTTGTGGTCAATTAATGTGTAGAAATTGATACATTAATGACATTTTTCAATTCGTATTTTTAGAGCTTTTCTACATAGAATTCATTTTGTATGAACATAATGCGTTCGTTTCATTTTCTATGCAGCGGGCACAGCCTGGGGCCATAGAAAAATTTCAATTTCATATCAATTTCATGTCTTATGTCAATTGTTTGTGGTGTCTGACACGAAAGTGGAGTGTGAAAATGTCTTCACAATGCCGCAACGATGATGTTGGCCACAAAAGTGGAATAAAACTATTGTTGTTGTTGAATAAGCCACGCATTGTCCGTCAACGCTTTGTGTGACTGTCACTCGGACATTGGTTAATGGGCGCAGTGTAGTATAACACACCTTATGGGCATCTTGGAGGGTTTTAAGGCACTGGAGCATGGCCCCAAGAGACGGCGACCGCCTTATGTGACATCTGTTCATTGTTTCAATATGTGTTTTAAATTACGAGCACGTCTAGTCTAATCAAAGGGCGCGCAAGCGCACAAGTGAAAGGAATCGCGAAGCCATGCAGCTGTGATATCGCTAACTAGCCAAATGCTGAATATCTGTGCACTGTTACACATAACCCGGTAGTGCAGCGACGCGAATCTTTTGATTCGCCCGACTTGCTAAACTTTTTGTTTTATGTTGCTGTTTTTTTTTTTTTTTTGTGGACGCGCCCAAAATGTCGCGTTCAATTTATTCGAAATCTTCTTTCTGCCGGCTCTGGAAACTTTCACTGCAATGCTTGCAAAATGCACATGTCCGTCCATTGGCAATTCTAATAGCCGGCAATTATCACCATGCTTCCCACTACCGCAGTGAGCCGGTTTTTAATATTTTATGAGTGCAACATCAATGATGACGTCATGCTGCGCCACTCTGACACAAAATCGTGCAGCAAAGGCTGTGCCGCAAGCAAATCAAACAAATTGCTCATGTTGTCGTTATTACGAGTATTGTTTTTGTTGCTACTGTTGAAAAAGCACATGAAACGCGCAACTGCCGAATTTGCACTCAAAGTTGCCTTTTTTGTGTATGCATTTTTCGTATAGCTGAACTTGTTAATCAGCGAATTGGAAACGCAAAACAAGAAGCATAAGAGATGAAGTAACGGATATGTGGAGCTAAAGCTGAAGTCGCTGCTTATGCGGCAATGACTAAGCCGTGAACGATTAACGGTGACTGGGACAGCGGTTTGCAAATGCATACGCAATAAATTGTATTAATTATGTAGCACACACAAATCTGATCACTGTTCACTCACTTCTATTAAAGCTCTCTCAAAAAACGATTCGTTACAGAATAAGATCAGAGAATTGATTGAGTCTTAAAATTAAATACATTTCTATATTGAAGATTAAAATTCCTGGAGTACAGGTATAAATATCTGATTTTTGAAATTAATTACATTTTCTTTATACATTTTTTAAGTTAACATATATTGGGTTAATTTACTCTTTCTATTGCATTCAATATAATTAATATAATTGAAGAAATTTATATTCAATTTATAAAATATTTGTAATTATTTCAGACTTTACTTCTTATTAAAGTATTCCATACCAATTATACAAATAAAATGAAGAGTCGAATAGATTATTTACTATTTTCTACTATTATTTTCTACTATCACTCAAGATTCGGTTTCCTGGTTTAAAAAATATTTTCTACAATTTAAAAATTTTTCAAATTCGAGTAGTTGCTTTAAATCAATAATTAATTGTTGGCTAGGCCAAGTCAAATAGTTGGTTTAAAAAATAAATACCGGCTTAAGTCTGTGATACAAGCCAACAAGCCAGACAGTTTCACTAAACGAACGACTTAAGCGAGAAACTTTAGCAGACACCGACAAGTATGCAACAGTTTTCGCAAAGTTACGCAACACTTTTAAAAACTACAGCATACTTTTCGTCGGTTTCTTTGGCACATTCCGCTGACGACTTCATTGCAACCTAAGATAAATATTTCATTTGAAACCACAGCATACTTTTATGATAAATATTCAAAATATCTTTAACGCTTTAATTAAAACCAATTAGCAGCTTGGACTCTCATTCCATGCACTTTGCACTCAGCGTACAGAACAAGAATAAGAAATGCAATTAACGAGCAACTGTGGATTACCGCTAGACAACAACAACGATAAGAAAACTAACTGCGCCTTAGTGTGAAACAATGCTTGACCATGCCTGCGCCTCACTAACCCAAATAAATGAACGACAAGCGATCTAATGCCGAAACAAGTTTTATGATGGCTTTTATGATGTTGGACAACTCTATTAACAATGGACATTAAGCAAACCATTTCGTGAAACAAGAAACAACAAGAAACAACAAGAAACACCAGCAAATAATTGGTGAAGAGCTTAAAAATTTAATCAAGGCAAAAACATATGCAGTTGTGCCATTTCAAAATGACAAAAAAATATACAAGTCAAGGTTTCCGTCCGTACACAATGAATAAAAGGAAAATATTTTCCCTATTTGTGTGTAGTAGATGTGTAAAGTAAATATTAAATGCATTGTATCTCGAACGAAAAGCTTGAACAAACATATAAAATTATGTGTAAATAAGCAAAATGCGCGAAAATTAACGCTTCTGCATGCGCATGGGAAAGGCGTCGTACAAAAAACAAGCAAACCAACTCAACATAAAATCAGCCGAGCGATAACCGTCACACAGCGCGGACAAAAAAATTGTGACTACCATCTTTAAGGGGTACGGAAGCATTTGCCTCCATATATTTGATAAACCGTACACAAAATGCCGCGTATCACACGTAAGTGCGCAAGCGTCGAAGCGCCATAACAAATCGTAATAATCTTAGACAATTTACTAGTCGATTGATTAGCTGGAAGCAAACACAAAAAATCGAAATGAAACAACTTGTTGTTGACAATTCAGGCACGTACACGACTTGAAGCCCCCAATGCAGCGCATTCCAAATATTGTTGCGCACAATTGAATAAAACGACAATTTTGAAATTTTTGTTAAATGCAGCATGAGTAATTGATGAGCGGAATCAGAATTGCACGGAAAGCTAAAAGCAAACAATCAAAACGCACATCTCACTCTCATTCATAAGAAGAGATAAGCGAATGCATTCAGCAACCGAAATGCATCATTGTTTACCGATATCTGAAAGCCAAAACAAAACAAATTGCCCCGATAAAAAAGACAACAGAAAGCTTGTTTGATTTCTAAGAATTGTTGCCGCATTAGTCATTTTATAAATACAACATTCTAAACATTCTGATGAATTATTCCTTTTTAATGCAGCTTAGCAAAAGAAACCTATCAAAAACAATCCCCAAGAAACACACCCATGGAGAAACCCACCAGTGATGCTATGATGAGCCTGAACTATAAGTACAAAAAATGTTGCAAATATTTTATTTAATCTAAGTGGCTTCTCTGGAACTATGATATTTCCCAGTACTTTACAGCAATTCAAATTTTAGGAGTAAATTAATTTATTCTGCCTACAATTGAGAGAAAAATTCTTTACTTTGAATCCCAATGCTTAAACAAATACATATGTAAATGATACTACTGATTCAGATTTGACATCTTTTGTGTTGCGGAATATACTTGTAAATACGGGTGTTTGACTGCATATATTGAAAATAAATATATTGTCTTCTTTTATGATTCTGTGAATCACGTCCCTTCTATTTGAATGTAACGATAAATATACTATATGTACAAGTATGTGCGTGCACTCACCTGTTGATTTGACTCGTCATCGGGAGCGGGCAACAGCTTGGCATTACTGGCTGTGGTGATGTTGTGAGTTGAATAGCTTTTCGAGGCATCATCGTGCAAGTCATGGAAGCCTGTCTGAAGCTCGCTCAATGTGTTGTTGCTGCCGCTAAGCGTGATGATGCCGCTGGAGCCGATATGACCCGATGTGGCTGTGGTGCGTCCACTGGCGGCGGCGCCACTGCCTCCTCCACCACCACTGTCCACCACACTGGAGACAGTGGAGATGCAACTGCGCGTAGTCTGTGGCGAGGGCGTCACTGCGCCCATTTCGGCATCAGCTTTGGCCCTGCGCATATTCAGCCAGGACATACGATGTGGCTGGTGGCGATCTAAGGTGGCTGCTCCACTCGCATTGCCACCACCTATATACACACAAGTGCGTGTGGTGATCGAAGAATCGCTGCGCAGGCGCTGCTCTGCATCTGGACGCGGCAATGTGGCCATGGCGCCTGATATTTGTCTATAGGTGGGTTCCAGATGCTTCCTCTGCTGTTGCTGTTGCTGCTGCTGCTGCAGACCGAGCTGTTCGGCCAGCGCTTCGTCGCTGCTGCGAGTCTTGTAGCTGTTGCTCATGGATTAGATCGAGAAGACGCAATTCTGTGTGGCAAGCAAAAAATACAAATAAATCTTAGTTTCAAATGAATCATAAGAGCCCTCAACTTATAAATACACCGAGGGGTTTACTGCGCCTCCCCAAACCAAACCAGTTTCATTTCTCATGAAACTCAAAATATCCGTTTTAACATTTTTCAAATGAAATGATTCACAAATCATCTTCAACTTTAGCTTTAGCTTCTTTGCTTATCGATGATTTTAGATTTTGTTTTGATATTTTTTCGTCGGCCATCATTTGCATACGAATCAAAATCTTGCTCGGGGCGCAGAACAATATTACACTGATTTGTCTAAAACTACAATAGCAACAAAAACCGCTCAATGAAAGTAAAATTCGCACATGTGTGAAAGTGAAAGCTTGCATTGGATTAACAATTCTAAAGCACAAGTAGATAAACAATTACTATTTCGCTACTATTATGACATTGTGGCCGACTTTCGAGCGAGCAAGTTATGTTTCTTTTATTATACAATAAATCCAAAATCTGAATTGTCAAGTGAACGCTCGACGGCCGCTTTTGCGTTCAATAACTTCTTAAAAATTTCACTCGATTAAATTTAGCATCTCTTTAGCATGCGCCACATAAAAATATCTTTTATTTTTAAGTTGATTGTGCTGCTTGCTAATGAAATCGCACTCAAGAAAATATCGCCCAAGCCTATTTGAATACGAACGGCGGCTCTGTTTTCAGTCGTAAAATAAAACAACTGTTTAAATATTAAAGCTTAAACAAAAGACAATAGTAACAACAGCTATCAGTTGTGTCATATGTATGTTTTCGATATTAATTCGACTTGAAATTAACTCGACTTGAAATGGGTCGCTGGCAGGTTTTAGCTTAATCTTGATATGAAACTCAATCAAATAAAAGCGGCTCATAACTTTTTAATTAATTCAAGTACACTACAATGGATTTATTTCGCAATCGCCAAATACCACGATCCCAGCTGCCATGGATGATGCTCCACACCAAAACTATTTCAAGGTGGACACCTGCGGCAAAAGATCTTCAGTTATCGACACTCCGCAGTTACACCATAAATACCATAAAATCAAAGCTATAATACCCTTGGGGAAAGGGTGTTTTTATGATCGTCGTACAGTTGTAACGAACCATGAGAAAAACAATATTTTGAAAACAAACTTCAATGGATTGTACAAATTGCATTCGTGGCGCTCTTTCAATATTTTTCCATATTAATAAAATAAAATACTGTAAAGAAAAGGTATCGTCTTCAGTTATTGTACCGATCTGTCTTCAAGAACTATACTCACAAAATATGCATATAATTTTTAAAACATTCGATTGCCAAGATAATGGTAGTACAAATTCGAATTAATAATATATTTTCATTGACATTAACAAGACTTTAATTTCTAAACAATTAAAATTTCTGATCACTTCGTTACAAAACATGAGCGAACCTACTTCCTCATTTTCGAGCCAAAAAACATTACGTTCACACCAGTTGGGCTGGTATATAAAGATCACTTTGGAAAAGTTCTTGTTATCGAAAGCTTAAAGGCCTTTACTCACAGTTTACACTAATTTTTAAATTAATTTATCGGGCTTTATTGTTTTAGGGTTGTTATTCAAAAAGTTCACAATTATAGTTTTTATTGTTGTTAAAATACCGCTAAGTATTAAATGTTACATTTCATTGAAAATTCCGACATTCTTTTTGACTTTTTTGTTTTGCTTATTTATCTTTTTTATTCAAACAATAACCATGCATATCTTATCAGCTCTCAGATATGGGCACATCAAGAGCAACAACATCTCTTATCAAAATCATTTTAAAAATTACGAATAATTATGCACGTTTGCGCATGCATGAATGGTCGAAGAAGAGACTAACAAAACACTTTATTTAAAAATGAACATTTTTGATCGTCCGAGTTCGTTGCCACTGACCATGTATGTATGTACGAGTATGTATATATGTATATAAAAATATGTGTATGTATGTATGTATATAGTCGTAAGTATGTATTTATACAAATTTTTGCGCAGAGCACAGTTTCACGTCATTATTTAAAAATGTTTACGGGCCGGCGTCAGATGATGTCGGCGTCCCCTACTTCGAGTAAATTGAGGCAGCAGTGTGGACGCCGTCGTTGTTGTTTATTATTGAACACTTTTTGCAAACAAACTGCTTATTTAAGTGGCGCCGTGCAGCGAACGGAACGCCAGATATCGGCATCTATTGAATGCACGCCAGCCAAGTGCTCGGATTCAGGTTCATATTCATATTCAGATTCAGATTGAGATGCAGATTCAGATAGCCCAGGCAGCCTTTTTGTAATGCAATGCCACCAAAACAGAAAAGCCGCAGACTTAAGTGTTAAGACTCACGCACACACAAACACACATACAGAATTGGACACAAATACTCGTAAGAACAAGTCATACAAATGCGCTGTCGGGTCGTTCGCTTAAAGCCAAATGCTTGGGAAGTCTCTCGTCTGGAACCGAGACGCTGCCGACTTTAGACCGTCGGAGACTGCATCAAATTACAAGTTATTAACAGGTAAATGTTGCAACTGAAAGAAAGTACAATAGCAACAATGGCGGCGGCGGTGGTGGCGACGGAATTTACGACTTTGACGCTCAGTCACCGCCCTCCCTATACGAGTATGCGGCCTCTGTTCCGATGGTTCACCCTCACCAACTCACTGGGACTCGGCCAGCGTTATGTTACTTTTCTTTGTGCAGTCAAATTGAACGGTGACAACTACATAAAAACATGTACAAACATACATACATTTGACAGCTTCTATGCGGGGATGGATGTGAGTCATTTATACAGAGAGAGAAAACCCCACAGATCCTATAAAAATGTTTGCAATTTCTTCTAAATACAAACTAAGAATAGAAAATCAAACTCAACTATTTCTTCCATACAACTAACATGTTTTAGATATTTACAACCAATTGGGATTTAATCAATCTAGTTAAATATGATTGGATTTTTTATACTACTTTGATTAAAAAGAAATTCAAATTGTTATTGTAAACGGTAAGAAAAACTATCTTTCTTCTAGACCCATATATGCTAGATTTATAAACAAAACAAGATATAAAACATTTATTTTCCATGTCTTAAGCGGTCAAAACTACAAATATTAATTTGTATGATCTAAAACGAATCTCAAAATAAGAAATTAGCTATACGTTGACCTTATATGATTGAAACCGCTTCTTGTTTGTCTAAGAACAACATTCTTTATACTTTTCTGTCAGTGCACTCATTCATTTATTGTAGGCACCTACACTTGATAAAGGTTCTGACGGGGCTGTCAGGGCATTAATGTTGCTACCACCAAGTCAGCAAGTCGGGGCACCAACGTTGCCAGCGCTGCTGACGTCGCTACGCCAAATGCAACCGTGCGTAACCACAACGAACTGTTGCCAGTGCCAAGTTTAACATTAACATGCCATTTAGCTGAGCTGTAGATGTCGGCGGTAATAAGTAGTTACTATATGTGTATAGGTACGAGTATGTGTGTGTGTGTGTAAGAATATAGTATAGTAGCGCATTCAAGTGCACAGGTTGTAAAGTGCTTTAATTTCTGTAGAAGCAAATTAAAGTTTTTGTTATGCTTTAAATGCCTTACAATGCATCGGAATGGTTCTCGTGAAGAACTTCATTTCAAGGAATAATACGAATACTGAGGGTCTTTTATGATTCAATTTAGAAAAGAAAAGACTGAGACTAAAGTTATGACTCATGCAGTTAAAAAGATGTTCTGTTTACTAATTAGAGAGTCTTTATTAAAAAGCTCTTCAACGCTGAAATTGCTAATTTAGTTATCTAAGCTGTTGCAATTTCAAAGAGGGTACAGAATTTATAGAATGTAATGTAGAATGAATGCCTTTTAATAAATAACAAAATTTTAATTTGTGCTTCTTTAGAATTAAATTTAAAATTAAATTTAAATATTTAAATACATTACCTCTACAACTAGAGCAACTAGGCGGTATTAAGGACGTGTCTCTAAAGTAATTTGGTTGATCCCAAGAAGCCCTTAAATATTAAAATATTAAGTACAGTGGACACTCACAAAACAACAGCGGTTTTTTCAAAAGGCAGCTGTATTTCTGAAAAAGTTCACTTTAAAAGGGTACGATTTACAATAAGAGTTTTATTTATTTTGGCATTTTTTCAATGACCCTGAAGAGATCACAATTACTCATATGGCTCCAAGTAATTAGGGTTTGTATTAATTTGGCCAGCTACTTGATTGAATAACTTGTTCGTCAGTACATATTATCTTGGATTTAACTAAACTAGATTTAATATAGGAAACGAGCTAAGAAGTTATCTTCATTTGGGCCAAAGCTATATAACCTTTATACCACTGAAACTATATTTTATATACAAATACACCACTTTTCCATAACACATTATCTCTCATTAGAAGACATTTTATACCTATTTTACATTACACATCCGTGGTCACCATGCGTCCAAAACTGATGTACATTAAAAAAAAAAAATAAGTATGAAAACAACATTCTCAATATTACACATTTTTTTAAAATAGCAAAAATCTGCTTTTCAATCGTATCATTTCTTTGAAGAAACCTTTGCAAAGTTTCATTATAATAGCTCTACGTTTGAGGTAGAAGTAGGGATTGAAAGAGAGAAACAGAACGCCAGACTGATCGACTGACTGAACGTATCTTGGCTCTGAAGAGACATAGTGTTCTATGATGATCTTTGGACAAGTTCAACGCGCCTTTATCGCAAACCAGAGCTAACCTCTGTCCTATCAGAAGCATTCGCCATTTATGAACTGACCTATGGCAAAGCGAAAGTCCAAACTGCGCGCCTCTAAACGCTCACTAATTACAGGTAACTGACTGAACCCGAACACTCGCCCCATCTAAAATGTCGCATTTGCACACAACAATAATGTGATTTTCATTTGAAAAACTAATCCCACTAGCATAGTATAGTATGTATCTAAATTAGCA